AGTAGAAACGTTTACAAACAAATAAATATTACATCCAAGTAGAAACGTTTACAAACAAATAAATATTACATCCAAGTAGAAACGTTTACAAACAAACAAGTATTACATCCATGTAGAAACGTTTTGGATGATAAGAAATTGTATCAAACATGTTTTGCAAACACGACTTTAGACTCTTTTACACTACTTAGTGGAAACGAGTTAAACAATGTGTTAATAAAATGATTTAAACAATGTGTTAATAAAATGATTTAAACAATGTGTTAATGAGTGCTAAGTACTAGCATAACGCACCATCCAATTGTTAAACATTCATTTTATGGCATCATCCTTGGATGATTGTTTGTTTGAAGTTAAGCACAAAGCTACACAATGGCCTATCTGTGCTCTGCCCACCACGGGTATCGAAACCTGGTTTCTAGCGTCGTAAGTCCGCAGACATACCGCTGTGCCATTGGGGGGGGGGCTCCTTGGATGAGGTAACCACAATTTTTGACAGAAAATTGAGACATATTTTCGTTTGAACTTCTGAAAGTTTCAGAGTAATAAACTTTCACCAACTTTACTATTACCCATGCGTTAAACTCGACAACTAACGGGCAGTAAAGTCTTGAGTAATGGATTTTGTTGGTTACTGATTTAGGTTATTTGCAACCGCTAGCTACTTCCTAGAATCCGGGGAACATTTACTTGTCTGACTTTCTCATACTTGACAATTTTGACCTTTTAAAAAAGCATTAAACAGTCCAAGCTTTTGTTTACATATTAATGGCTACTCAATTTGAGCCGATCGCTGCTTAGGGCTGACAAAAACAATATTTCGTTGTTAAATACATGCAGAATTATAGGTATATAAGGCACTTTTGAAAAATGACTTTCCTTTGTACTGGGATATGGTAATGAGGAGCTATTTTCTATTTTGCTGTTTGATTGTCACGTGACTTGATTACCAATCGGAAACGTTGAAACTGTCAATAATTAATTGTAATAATATGAAATTAATATTAATCAGAATTAGCTGAAGAGAGGCCACGTGATATTCGGATACAGGAGTTGGCAAAAAAATACACGCATTTGGTGAGTTATATTTTTATCTATGTGTAGTATTACATTTTTTCTGCCTTAATTAATAGCTAGTAAGGTTTCTGAATTACGGCCATTTTGTTAGGCTTCTTTAATGATTCGGAAAGCTTAAGATGTTGACTTTATAAACAAGATCTCATCATTTAATGGTTATTGTGGCTGTTCCTGGATGTCATAGAAACTAATGTCTACCTTTAAAATTTCACTGGTCTCTTTAGAATTTGCTTGGTAGTTAGGACACCTCACTTGCAATCTGAGGTCGTGAGTAAGAATCCACTCACCAAACGTGCTTCTTCTTTTACCCTTGGGGTGTTATAATTTACGGTCAATCCCACTATTGGTTGGTCAAAGAGTAGTCCAAGAGTTGGCGGTGAGTGGTGATGACTAGCTGCCTTCCCTCTAGCCTATCACTTCTAAATCAGATATGTCTAGCACAGATAGCCCTCTAGTAGCTTTTCACGAAATTCAACAAACAAACACATTCTTTAAAACTTTAGCTACAGTTCGATTTCATAGATACTCTAACGGTTAGTTTAACAGTAGTTCTGGCAATAGTTCGTGAGTTGACGGTGGATGCTGTTGACAAGCTGCTTTTCCTCTTGTCTATCTTCAAAATTATGGAACACTGTGTACAGGTTGACCAGTGCTTCTTAATGGGGGTTCCTCGACAGACATCCAGGGGTTCCGCAGGCATCCGCCGAATGCAAAAGTTTTACATATTTTGATACGTAAATACACACTGGTCACATAACTACAATCAGAATACATCATATTTACCTATTAATATAGCTGGTTTCATAATGACACAATATACCAACAAGCCACTACATTGTTTTAAGTTAGTGAGCGAGACAAGGTACAAACAGCTGCCGGTATTGCAGTAATGTTTTTTGTACTGAATGCTGTGAAGGGTTCTGTGACACAAATTTGACTCCAGAAGAGTTTCGTGGATTAAAAAAAGATTGAGAACCACTGAGGTAGACCCTCGTTTGTAGCTTTTCCCGAAAATTCTGAAACAAGCAAACAAACATTGAGTTATCGCACTGCACACATGGTGTACTATAACAGTGACAGTCAAGTCCCACTATTCGGTCAGACAGGGGCAGCTCAACAGTTGGCGGTGAGTGCTATTGGCTAGTTCTCTTCCCTCGTCTCTGTCAGCTCAAAAGGGACAGCTATGCGCAGATAGTCTTTGTGTTGGTTTGAAACAATTTTGAAACATATGAACGTTATCTGTTGGTAAGAATAAAGAAAACCAAACCAAACTAAGGACGTGGTATTTTTACCTACTTCACTACAACTGTGGGTAGAACAGTTGTTGAAGAAAACAGGAGTAAGCAGGCCTGTATCATTCGGAAGTGTAGAATGCAGCGTTTGGCTTTAGTTCTGTAGAATTACATAAATTTGTACGGTTTTAATTTATATGGAAAAGTTTAGATTTTCTGGTCTTGCTGGGGCTTCTGTAATCTTTCTTTTTGTAAGTTATAATCGTTTATTTATTCAAGTAGAGGCTGAATCGCTAAGAACTCGTATCTTCTTTGAGTTTTTAACGACCGGCGTGACACTTGGGAATAATATGAGAAACATCCAGTTTTGAGATCTACGTTGACCCACATATGCTCCGGCTTTTCCGGTTTGGAGAATGTGACATCGCGAAAGGTGATAACCCTAATTCTGGTAAGACGAGGTTGAGACCGAAGATAGGTTACGAAAAAGAAAAATTGAATTAGTGTTGTAAAACACAGCACACCTAGTCATTTGACTTTCTTGGTGCTTAGTATGGGTCCTTCAATGTGGGCTGATAAAACACGTTAAAGGAAACGTTCATGCAAAGGTGATTGTTAATTGTGTCATCCTATAAAACCATAAGATCACTCGCAGTTTTAATAATTCTTCTGGTGAATAACAAAAATGTGGAATCACGATATTGTGACCATAGCGCCCATCTTCAATACAAACCTTATTCTGCTTAGCAAGTGTTAGTAGTTGAAATCTTTTAAAACATTAGTTATCCCATAAACTTCATGTTAAAGAGCCACAAATGATATTAGTTACAAATTTAAAACATCAGTTCAAAGCTTAGAAACTGGTGGAATTACTTATTGTACGCAACATTAAAAAAATAACTCCAAACATAGGCATTAATGGGATACTGCGCAGTTACGTGACCGCAATATCAAATTTTCTCACTTTTTTTAACTTTTTGTTTTGTTTTTGATAGCAAAATTATTTTACTTCAGGTATACAGCTGAAACAAGGTACTCTTAAAAATACGCCACCTATTTTTAATTTTCAGGTAAGCCTGATATTGATATTTTACTCAAACCTGTAATACAAATTGGGTACAAAAGTTTTGCCCTACGGCTGTGGGTTGGGGGTGATTATCCCTTTAGCCTCTTTCCTCTTATCACCACCCTCCGCCAACTCTTGGGCTACTCTTTTACCAACGAATAGTGGGATTGACCGTCACATTATAACGCCCCCACGACTGAAAGGGCGAACATGTTTGGTGTGACGGGGATTCGAACCCGCGACCCCCAGATTGCGAGTCGAGCGCCCTAAGCACCTGGCCATGCCGGGCCATTGATAGGAAATCACTACTGGTATTTTCAGCACGCCACCTGGCCATGCCGGGCCACAAGAAAAAGAGGGGAACTTTTTGTGTTCTACCTTATGAGTTCTATTATTTGTTTTTTTCAAATCCTATTGATAATCTTTAAATATACTATTAAGCAGAATATTTCCATGGATTTTGGTTAAATCATTTACTACGTTTACACTGCCTTCCACTTACACTGCTAAATTAGGGACGGCTAGCGCACATAGCCCTCGTGTAGCTTTGCCCGAAATTCAAAACAAACTATTTTTTGGTTCAATGTTCTTATAAAAATGAAAATGGTTTATCAACACTCTATACTTTAGCTAATAAAGTTTGTGGTAATAGAAACTACAAAGTTATGGAATAAAATCAATGGAAAATTAAACTGGCATGCAATTGATATTTAGCTAACTGAATAACTTTTTATTTATTTATTTACTATTCTTACAGATGCGGTACTCGTTCGCGTTTCCGTTTTTGTTCCTTGGCATGGTGACGTCAGAAGAACGTAAGTAGCCAAAGTTTTATACCTGTCACACTTATTTCTTATATGAAATACGGTATATGTAAGGTTTATTCATTCAGTTTTGACAACTCATAGGGCCCGGCATGGCCAGGTGGTTAGGGCGCTCGACTCGCGATCTGCGGGTCGCGGGTTCAAATCCCCATCACACCAAACATGCTCGCCCTTTAAAGGGTGGGGGCGTTATAATGTGATGGTCAATCCCACTATTCGTTGGTAAAAGAGTAGCCCAAGAGTTGGCGGTGGGTGGTGGTGGTGATGACTAGCTGCCTTCCCTGCTAAATTAGGGACGGCTAGCGCAGATAGCCCTCGTGTAGCTTAGCGCGAAATTCATAACAAACAATTCAGAGAATGATAATCCTGTTATGTCTCGCAATAAGAATTAATTCACCAGATGGCAGTATGCACTTGCTCTGCTCCTTTATTTTATTTTTTAATATTGGCAAATAAATAAATGCTTCTGTAGCCGACGGAAACTTCTGGAAACTTTTCAAGATGGCTTTCTTCACCAATTGGTCAAGGATCTTACTAGAAACAATGTTATTTTAGATTTATTGTTAACTTTAGATATAGAAATGACCGAAAAGGTGGAAATTGGGGAACATCTGGGTGCAAGTGCTCATTGCTCTATTAGATTCGACGTTTTGCTGCATATGGAGATAAGGAATAATGATATTTTGGTTACAAATTTTGAAGGGATGCGACAAGAATTATCTGTTGTGAATTGGGCAGCTGAGTTATTTGAAGACACTGATCAGATGTGGAAAATTTCTAAAGACAAATTTTTAAATATTCAAGTAAACATATTCTTTATAGAAAGAAAATGGTGGCTGCAAGTAAAAAACCAGTTTGGCTCACAAAGAGTTTAAGAAATAAAATTAAAGAAAAGCATAATAAATTTAAGAAATTTGAAATGACTGGTATGACAGGAGATTTAAAAGATCAAGATTTCCTGTTGAAACAGGAAATTAGGACATCAAAAAGGATGTATGAAAAAAAGTTGGCTGAAAATATAAAAATTAACAGTAAGGAATTATTTAATTACATTAAGGGTAAACCTAACGTGAGGATGGGGGTAGGGCTCTTGAGGGATGATAAAGGAAGGCTAGTATATGATGATTATGAGATAGTTAGGTTATTAAATTTTGTTTTTTCTTCAGTTTTTACTGACGTGGATTAAAGCACATCTTGAACAGTTGATAAATGGAAACGAGATGACTGAATTAATTCTGAGCTGGTTAAGAAAAAATTGAAAAGTTTAAAAACTATAAGGCTCCTGGGCCAGATAATATTTCCCCTAAGGGTTTTGAAGAAGGTTAAAGATTGGATATGTGAGCCACTTACTACTATTTTT